TTCAGAGTCAATTATTTTTCCTCTTAATTCAGTGACCAAAAATTTTGATATCATATTTTTTTTTTCAAAACATCTTGCTATTTCTTCCTTTGATAATTTGACGTCTCCATTTGAGTGAAAAATTCTCCAGAGGGACGTTAAACAATATACAATCAATCAATCCTTTGATAATTTGATATCTAACATGAATGGCAAATTTTAATATATCTTGTAATGTTTTATATTTATTACTGTTATAGTATAGTTACTAAATTAATGTAATTTCAGGTGTTTCTATATTATTTTATTTTATTATACATGTATTTACATAATAAGAAAAAACAAAAGACTAGCATTATGATAATAAATAAAAAAATAATTTAAAAAAATATGTATTAAGGACAAATAAACAAACGGCCCCGGTTGCATCACATGTTGGATCATTTGCCAGAATTGTGTAATCACCCTCCTCGATTTAGCCCTGCTCATTGAATTAACACAGTTTTTTATCTTTTCCCTGTAAAATCAGCATCAAATCATTTAAAAGTAAGCAGGCAGATTTCCATTAGTACATGTATATAAATATCAAAACTTACTGTCGAGTTCTTTAAGCTTATACATTTTTTTAATTTATAAATTCAACTAAATTCTACTTGAGGAAATAATGCTTAACTTCAAATAAAACATTTATCAAAAAAAATTACAAGGAAGTTAATGAATGAAATTTAAATTATTTTGTGTCATTTCCATTTAGTTATGTGATGAAAACATGAATTTATAGATTTACTTGAAATATCTGTTCTCCTAAAAAAATATTGCTTAAATATTTGAAGGAAACAAGATTCATTATATATATGATATGAATCTTGTACTGACATTTTTAATTGAACAAAATAATTCTTACTATCTCTTTCATCTTTCGACTAATTAAAAGACAAATTTATATAAGGTACAAACACAGAAAAACAGAATGTTTAATTAATACAGTAGGTCAATAATCTTCTAAGGAAACTTTTAATAAAAAAAAACAGTCAGCGTTAAGAAAATTCACGACGAATCAGACCGATTTTTTAAGGTCAAAACGTGAATACACTTAACAACTTTAATTTATTCTGAAATGAAATATGGCAATAAAATGTATTTTCAACATTTGATTTGTAAATCAAGTGGATATTTTTTTTTAAGTGAATAACATTTAGATGTTTAACATTTCATATGATTTAAATAGAAATAGAAATTTAATCAAAATATGCAACGATTTAGAATTAATTTTAAAAAGTCACCATAAATGAAATTAAAATCTAATTTTCTTTCAATCACATTCGTTTGCAATTATTCCTCATAATTAAAGAAATGCATTGTATTCATCTAATGTGTCATTAAATCCAAAAATAACACCAGGTAGTTTGAAACAAACTTTATGATACCATGTCCTTTTGAAAGTCATATTATTTCCTTTATCATCCCTATTCAATTATTCAGGTGTGCTTATATTCAAACAAAGGAACTCGATGCTCTTTTTAACCTATTATGGTACCGGTGTGTTCTATTCTTCTTAATGGGATTTTACTCTGAATCTTTATTTATGATAATTGGTAATTATTTTTGTGTCTTAGTTTATTTACGAAATGAAAATTTTACAGGATATACAAATCATATAAAATATCGTCAAAGTTTGTGATGATTAAAACCTTGAAGTTACTGTGACAAAGAACGAAGATGGACATTTTAAAAATTGTCAAACTGCTATTTACGGTAAACAAAAAGTTATTATTTCAGTAAAATTTTGTTGTATTGAAACCTTATGAAAACATCAACACAATTGACATCTTAATGGTATTCTCTTACTCTTTTATTTAGTATATTAGAACATATTATCTACGAAAAACCTTCTTTTTTAACACTAAACAAATGGATAAAAAACACTTGGTTAACAAACATCTTTCTTTCATATTCAGTTTATCGTTTTTATCGACGGTTTAGCATGCTTAAACATTGAATGTAAAGGTCAGCCAACAGTTTCCTTTTCCAAAAGCGAACAAGATATGATATTAGAAAATACTTGCACAGCACAACGAGGAAACTACACTGAGAAAAGGAACTGTGAATACTTCCGGACTGACCCAACCTCTAGAAATTTCATGCCCGCCAACGAGGCAGCAAGATGTCCTTGGATTTTCGAGATGAATATTGACAATAATAGGATACCAAACCTTTTATTGGAAGCTAGATGTGCATGCAGATGTGGTATTGATGGCACAGATTGTCTGCACTATAGATGTGTACCTGTGTATACTTATGTTGAAGTTTTAAACAGGCTGAATTGTACAGAATTTACCAGCAGGATGTTACCCTTGGCTGTTGGATGCACACAAGTTAGGCTCGTTCGTAGGATGAGACCCTTTGCAATGTCTGAATAAACTCTTTAAAGTATTGTTGTAATTTGGAATGATATTTTGTGATTTACATATACTCTAATTTCTTTGTTTATTAATTTCATGTAAAGGGAAAGTTAAAGTTCATATTGAATGTGGAAACATGCAGTTAATATCGTATTTTTATTATTTTTTTGCATTAAATGTATGTATTACATGTATACATAATCATTTACTTATTGGTACCATATGATTGTTGAAATAAACATGAATGCAATGTATAAATTAAGTAAGATCCATTATCCAGTTCGCTGAAATGTTCTGATTTTGAAGATAATTTTTGCTATTAGATTTCTAGCCAATTGGCAAACCCCACCTTTAGATTGGAAATGTTATTTGTGTTTCTAATTAAAAGACTACAAAAGCCCATTTAGGACCTACAATTTTTTTTTTAGAATTCGTTATAAAGAATTTAAATATCTTATAACAGATTTTTAGAATTCGTTAAAACGAATTTAATTTGTTATAACAGATTCATTGAATTCGTTTAAGCGAATTTAATTTGTTATTACAGATTTGTTGAACTCGTTATAACCTATTCAAGAATTTGGTTACAACGAATTCAACAAATCTGTAATAACAGATTAAATTCGTTATAACGAATTCAATAAATCTGTAATAACAAATCAAATTTGTTCGACCAAGTGCTGCACAGAATGAAACGTGTACTCCTTGTTGTTTGATATCAGAAATATAATAGGAATACATACAAAATTATACGTCAATAACTAGGACGCCCCAGTTGAGAGATCTGGTTTTTATTTCATTCTGAATTGATAAACCTTGATATGACAGATAAAAGTTCATCGCATTGTGAGATAGAAAAATAAAATAAACACTCAATAATTAATGGAAAGTTTCACTCAATAAGCATTGCTGAATGCTTAAATCTGATGTAATAGAATTGCTCTTCGGTTAAATGTATCATATAAGTGAGAAGTGCTTGAAGATAATTCAGGGGAATTGAATATTCTTTTCTGTTTACTTTGATACATGTACATGTAAGATATGCTGAAAGAATTTTCTTTAAATATTTTTACATTTCTTTTTTTATATGTATTTAGTGAATAGCAAGAAATTTAAGATGGAGAAAAATTTTCTTAGGTAATTTTTTTTAATAATTATTATATTAATGAATATTACAATATCATCAGGTACTAACATTTTTAACGAGTCTTTCATAACATCAAACGAAATTGAAAATTATCAGCTTTCAGTACATACAATATTATGCACATTTAAAAGACAAACATCAACAAGTGATATAAATAGTGGTAGCATTTTGTGCAATCACTAGACAGTACAGCTGAAGGCTATTTATTTGATGAGAACTCACACATAGGAGGTTAAATTTGATTTATTAGGAACAAATGTGTCATTTAAATCTTTTTTTTAAAAATTGATTTCTTTACACATAGTTAGACGCAGAGTTTTTCCCTTTGTCTTCAAGTTATAATGAAAGTGGTGGATACTCATAAAAAATCTGACAGTTTTAGCATCATAAGAACATGGGTTAATCACCTGTGATTGATGCACCCAATCATTTTCATTTTTCTCATGAACTTTTCACTTCTAAGGTCAAGTGCTCTAATTACAAGGATTTGACAGTTATTATATTTTTTTGGGGGGAGGGGGGATATATAAGGGAGATAGACCTGTTAATTAAGGAAAACTTACAGATCATTGATCAATTTGTGCAAGAACCCATGTTAATGATCATATCTTTACTATACTGCTACGAACAGCAGCTTACTGAATTGTTTCTTTCTTTCATTCTCGGCTTAATTCTTATAGTTTGTAGGTGTTTTTGTGACCAAGAAATAGCAACTAAATCATGTAATATTAGTTATCAATTACTCAAATTCAATACTTCTGACGAATTTTACCTAAAAAAGATGATTTACTTACAAAATATATTAGAAAAAATATGCAGGCATGACGCTTTTTTTGCACGTATTTGAATTTTAAATTAATCGGCGTAGTGTATGCTATCAGTTAAAAAAAATTGCATTACCTTGATAAATGTAATCTTTACTTAAATTAATTCATTGTTAAATAAGCTTTATCACCGTTTTGATAAGTAATTAATTTTATTGGTAAGTTCAAGAAATATTTACATCAGATGAGAATATAAATCACTTGGGTTTTATAATATTACTGAAAGTCTGGTCTCAAAAATTCATAACTTTTTATCGTAAGACAATCAGTCTAAGGTTGAAAAATATCGAGTTCTTTGTGATAAGAATGTATTGGAAAGGATCTTCAGTAGAAGGGAATGCTGCATCTAAGGCCATTAAACGGTTGAATATACTATTATCAGGTTTGGGATTATCTGTTCGGTAAGATTAATGATTTTAAGATATAGTGTAGTTCATGTTAATTACACATAAATATAAACTGATTGTACAGGTGATATGGGTATTTTGAAATTAAGATTTTCGAGTTATATGTAGTTCTTAGACTACCTTCGGGATTTTTCTATAAAGTAATTCTTCTTGCCATAAGCCTGAAATCAATTATTAGAAGAAACTGTTAGATACATTTTTCGAGTGGTAAAAAATCAAGTTCCTGCGCTTGCGCCTGTAGTCTTATAAAACAGAAGACAGTTATCGTTAGAATACCAAAACGTATTCTTCTCCACTTTCAGTAACCCTTATAACTCAGCATGAAAAGGAACATGTTATGTTTATTGTTGTTTTCTCTCATTTTGATCCAAATAAATGGAATTTCCATTTTAACAGGCGAAAACAACAAACAAGGGGATCAAACGGACGGAAACACAGTTCCGACAAAACGAGCAGATATTCTTCAGCAACTTTTAAACCAGGAAACGATCATCAGAATGTCTTTAGAAAAAAGTGTACGTGACCTCATGAAAGAAGTTGCAAATATGAAGACAAAAATAACAATGTTAGAAACATCTACGAGAGAGTTAAGTAACATTCAAATGGAAAATCAACAACTCGAAAGAAACCATTTAAGTCATTTGAAAGAAAATCTCACTCGAATTGAAGAGAGCTTTCCTGAACTACTTACAGAAAAGTGTGAACAAATGTATGTGAACGTGAATCGTTCATTGGAAATAATGGACAACGAACTGATTTCCCGACACAAACAACTTTTACAAAACGTTTCCAACCTTGAGATGATTCACCGTGGCAAGCAAGGTAAAAATATTCTTCTTAATTTTATTATTAATCTTAAGGTGTTCTTCAAGCGAGTCTTGGAAACATTTTAGACTATGGTAAATACAATGATTAAGGTTTTCTTCTCAACAGGCAATATTCTTGTTAGTCTAAAGTCTTTTAAAGGCATACTTTATGTTAAAAGGAATATTTACACAAGTTAAATATTTACATTTTCAATAAATTTCCCCTATGATTCTTTACAAAATAAAATGCAGTATATTTTCTCATGAACTACATTAGGTATGTATCACGAATAAGCATGAATATCTCCATTGTTACGTCATAATACCGTTCTTGACGTCAAAAAGTCAAAAAATATAGTGCACACTGTTTTGTTTTAAAAATGACAGTTGAACGGCGTAAATTTATGGCAAGTCGTCAGAAAAATAATGTAAATATAAGAAATGAATTTAATTTTTTGAAGATTCATGAGGTATATGAACTACAACGCTTCACGCCGGCATATTTATCATGAAGCGCTAACGCGCTTCATGAAATATGCCGGCGTGAAGCGTCGTAGTTCATAACCTCATGAATCTTCAAAAATTAAATTCATTTCTTAATTAAACAAACCATATTTTATGTAACATTACTAACAAATGATTTCCAAATTATTGTTACTTGTCTTACGTCCCATTCGAGAGACTTCAGAGTTTACTTTTAGTTTAGAAACGCCACCATGTTAAGGTGAAGGTTCAATTTTAAAACTTCCATAACATGTCATTAAAACATGTATATCTTGAAATACCAAAGGAAAAAAAATCAATGTAAAGATGTATATTTATCAGCGTAATAAAATTTGTACTATCAGAATAAACTAAAATATTTTTGGTACATATAATTGATACTAATTGTGTAGAAATCTTTCATTTACGCTCGGGCGCCTAATGTGTGACTTCAATAACAAAAACAGCCATTTCTCTCTTTTTATTTTATATTCAAGACCTTTTTCTGCTTTTTAATCTTGTAAAAAATTATATCTTTAAAAAAAGTAATAATCTAGGGACACACGATCTTATTGCAATTTGAGAACAATTCTAATCAAATTAAGCAAACCTAAAACAAATTTAAAAAACCCTTTTTTGCTCTGTTTAACCAGCAAACAGTCGTTCAATTAAGACATATCACAATGCATTATACTATAATATAGTAAAGAGCAGGAAATATATGATAATAAATTTTTAATTTTTCCAAGTCAGAACGAATCGCTCCTTCAGAATAGCCCTCGTAAAAATCTGTTTTCTCTCTAAAACGGTTCCTGAATAGTTTACATTCATACATCTGATGACATTTTGTTTTTTTTATAGAATGGATGCAAGTAAAGCTCTAATACACTGTAATAATTCACTGAGAAGAAAAGTGCATAATTGACGTCATAGAAAGCGAGGGAATGTTTTATATAATTGTTTATATATTTTTTGGAATGATTTTTTTTTCATTCCACAGTTGTGTTAAGAGTGTTTTGAGGACAAAATATTTTTCTCTCAAAAAATCTTGAAAATATCTACTTAAGTTATTGTGACAAATCGCTGATTTGACGTAGAACGAGATAGGTCCCCTTTAACAGTCACTTTTATATTAAATATTAATTAAATACTAAATTTATAATCATAATAAATGTGTAGTAAACCACAAGCTTTCGACAAATTTAACTTTTGAAACGATTGACACCATAACCCTTATCCCCTCTGTTTTTACTCATTCTTTTTCATCACTTCCATTCTAATAAGAAAGGTTGAAAGACATTAAGGAAGGACTCTTCTCACACAAAACTGTATTTCTTGTATTTAAAAATTATTGAAATTTTTACAAAATCAAGAAGACAATATCACTAAGTAATAGTATCAGTAAAAGTACAGTCAAGGTCACGTCAATGTCATTTCCTTTTTCTTTTTCCTGATGATTAAGAATAAAAAATATTCTGCATACAATCATGCAATACAATTCTCTTTTCTAAGGATTAAATGCTTTTCTCTTTGCTAAAAAAAATATTACCATATAGGGTCTAAAAGATCACATTACCAAATTGACGCAAACAGTTGAACAAAAAAAGGATTCTGAGCAAACCGAATTTTCTCTATTTTCTTATTTTTTAGGATGTATTAGTTATTTTCATATGAGTCCTATATTTAAATTTGAATAATTTTCACATATGGTAAAGAATTCATATAAAGATACAAAACGATTCAAAAAATAAAACGATTCGATCATTTATTAAGAGAGTAAAAACACTTCCTATGAATTTTTGCCTCGTATCTGTACATAGATTCGAAGCTCCTAAAAGTTAATATAATTGTAGTTTGTTTAGAAAAATCATAATTATTTGAAATATCTAAAACTTCAGTCCCTTATCATCAATATAACTAACATTTCAAAGATCCTTGAAGTCTTTGATTGTGTAAGATTTATGACTATATTCATTGTTCTACAACAATTTTGAGAATCAGAGAAGAAGATATTTAGTTTTTTTTTTTTACATACGCAACCATTCCACCAAAAATATAGTTCTTGCTAGATTTTAAACTCAGTCTACCATATCTATGTTTAATTTTTACTATTGTAATGAGAAAAGAAAAATACGGTCTTTTAAATTTCTTACCATACAAATATATAAGAGATATAAGCAAATATATATTGAATATTTCATCTAGTCTGAAACCAGAGAAGAATCCTACTTTAACATAAAAAAGAGGCCCATGGACTGCAACGCTCATCTTCGTAAATATTGTTCTGCTTTTCTTCATCTGCATTTTTCGAAGATTTTTTTTTCAAAAATACACTAAATTTCAGTGATATATTAAACTGCTATTTTTCTCAATTACATGTAACACTTCCTTTGTAAAAACCCCGTGGAGACCCGGGTTAGAATAGGTCCTCAGTACCCTCTGCTTGTCGTAAAAGGCGACTAAATGAGGCGGTCCTTCGGATGAGACCTTATAAACCAAGGTACCGTGTCACAGCAAGTGTGGCACGATAAAGACCCCTCCCTGCTCAAAGGCCCTGAGTGCCGAGCAAAGGCCTAAATTTGCAGCCCTTCACCGGCAATGATGACGTCTCCATATCAGTGAAATATTCTTGAGAGGGACGTTAAACAATATACAATCAATCAATCAATCCTTTGTTAAACTTCAGATGATCATTTGTTGTTGCCTATTCTACTTCCACGGATCAAGATTTGAACACATGTACATGTATATCTACACTACATGAATATATATGCTTCCATATCAATTGACCGTAACTAATTAATTGGCTTTATATTTTCTGTTCTTAGATTTGAACTAAATTACATGTATATTTCAAATGGGGAAACTTTGATCCCCCATTGTGCCCCCAATTTATCATGATTTAAATAAACCTAATAGACAGTAAACGAGTATGCATCCAGTGTATTTAAAATGACTTATTCTGATTATGTGGTTCTTGGGGGGGAAAATATCTTGATATTTTTTCCTAAATGCACTTACGTTTATTCACATGTATAAAAAGCCACCATTTCAGCTACGTGGTCCCAACCAACTTCCAGGGGGTAATGATTTAAACGAACTTGAATCTTTGTAACATGGGGATGCTACATATTATACTAATATGATTAATAATGCATGGATTTGCTGTTCTTGATAGGACACAACATATAAATTGCCAGTTGTATCCCCAATGTTATGATGTCCCCATCTTGCCCCGTGCGACACGATTTGAATCTACGTGCAATACCTGAGGGAAAAAAATATCATAGGTGTTGGAAGCAAATTGAAATATGGGGGGGGGGGTTAAACCAACAGAAAAAGGTAAACCCCAATCTTTAATGCCAATATTATATATATTTCCAAAATGGGGGGGGGGGGGGGGCTAAGCCCCCACTTCCCCTCCACCGATTTCCACGCCTATGAATATAATTAAGGATAATAGACAGTACATGTACTGTATTATAAAGCCCAGAAGTTTATTGAAAATATACGTTTTAAGTACTGTAAAATCATGTTTTCAAGGGGGCAAAATTTCGAGGGTTTAGGAGTTTTGGGGGATTTGATTTCGTGGCTAGAAAATGTTTAGTAGCATAAGGCATATGAAATTCCACATTCTATGGTGTAATGAATTTGTGGGTCTTTAACCTTTTACTTCGAAAACAAGGAAAATTAACCCCCACCGAAATAAATGATTTCACAGTATTATAAACATGTTCATATCAACCAATTAAAAGAGCCAAACCTAAACCCTTTCTTTATATTATTTAATCAGTTAAGTGATAATTTACAATCATTGTAAGACCTTACAAGATGTAAGTGGGTGGTGTAACCGTGTGCCTTTTTTTGTCAAATTTACAGATACATCCGTGAACCGTGCTGTCGCTTTTGATGCTTCCTTAACTGCAAATCGGAATACCTTTACTGGCAGAGTTGTTTTTGGAAAAGTAGCTCTAAATGCTGGGAATGGATATGACGGGTCTACTGGAATATTTACAGCCCCACAGACAGGGATCTATGTGTTTGAATGGACAACAGTTGTCTGGGCTGGAAAAGTGTCTTTTACTTTATTGAATGCTGGCGGACAGAAGAAGAGGAAAAATCATTGCTTTGATAAAAATTCATTGAATAATTTTTGTAGTAGAATGAGCGTTGTCAAGCTAAATGAAGGTGAAAAAGCATGGATAGAGACTTATAGTGGAACAGCTTTAGATCACAGAAGTTCGATTGCTTGCTTTATGTTGTAAAAAAAGAACAAATCACTAGGTTCGTTTGAATCTTGACCCCATTCAATTCAAGGGGATATATACTCATGCAAAAGAGTACGAGAAAAACAAGATGCACATGTATGAGTGTTTTTACATATATGAAGTATAATAAAAATTATGTTCATTGGATTTATTACTACTCAAATCATATTGTATAACCTTGGTTTGGGCATTATTGTCTGCCTTATATATATTTCCATTCTATTTGTTACTCTGTGATAAATCTTTGAAGTTACAAGAGCTGATTTTTGTTCCCAACTTCTACTTGTTATCCGAGGCACTGAGTTGACCATAACACTGTTTTTCTTATGAATATACTTTTTTAAAGCTTCTTTTATTTCATAATTTCAATATTGTAAATATTTGAATCCTCCCAATATATTTCTGGAATGTATGCTTAAAATTGGTTGCTCAAAGAGGAAAATTCATTACTTTGACCTACAAGATGGCGGCCAAGGGGAGTAAGTCTGAGACTAAATACGCCATATGAAAACTTTCTATATAGCGTGGGAAGTTATAAAACCATTCGTTATATTATAATTTTCTATCATTTATTAACAAAGAAATATATGACATGTTTTCTATGAAAAAATTCATCAAATTGTCCATATTTTGAATGTAGGTTTGAACATATTTTATTGTTTTGATGTTATAACAAAAGGATTGGACACAAGTTCTTAAAAACTTAGAACGTCCTTTGAATGTAATGTCAAGGAGATTGATATATTTTTCAGGTAATCCAATTTGAGGTTGGTTATAGGTTATACTATATAAATTATTTTTTAATCCATCGAATGACGTGTTACAATTAAAATTAAATTATACACCTTTTATTAAAAACTCATTTGTAAGTAACTACTCGTTGTTGAATAGTAATTTCAGATACAATTGCGTTCGATTTCACAAGTGGCAGATTCAAAAGCCCAATTACGTTGTTGAAGACTAACGTCACCTTCAATGTTTGTTAAAAACCCTTTCAGTTCTTCTCAAATGAAGTTGCTGACAAGTCTGTGGGAATATTCACAACAAACAGGATAGCAATCTGCTGTTGCTTGTTTAAACCTAGGCAATACAACGACAAGGTATCATGGGACATTTGTGTACCATGAGTAAATTCAAATTGACTGTAAGTATCAATGTGAATATTTCGAGAGCAACTGGTAAACTGTGCTACGAGATGAGTTGAAGGACCTTTCAACAATAATCATAATGTATACTAAGTATTGTCTTATAATTACATGTACTCTTAGTAGTTTTGCAAAGCGGTGACATATATTTCACGGCGGCTGAGTTGTTCTAAACTGGTTAGATATCAATAACAGATAGTAATATTTGTAAATTCCTGTGTGTGTCCCGGTAAGATTCTATTCTAACGTAAAGTTTATCATGTTTTAATTATCTGTCTAAATGTCTGTCTATGTGTCGACTATATCGTGTGTGTCATTGTAATATTTCAAGTTTTTGACATCTTTTTTCATCGTTAATATATATAATTGAACCTGAACCAGATTGTTATTTCTGATGTTCTACCACTGGCTACATGTAGATAAGAAGAAATACATCAAAAACATACAAAACCCTCAATTCAACGTCACCTTAAAATACTATGTTCATATCAAATTAATGAACTATTGACCTGGGGGCCATAAAACTTAGACACGCTCATTTTTGATCTCAGTCTCATCTTTACCAAAGGAATACATAGTGGAAAAGTGAGACTGAGATCATAAGTGAGCTTGTCTAGGTTTTATGGCCCCCAGGCCTGGAGCACTATAATATTTAACAGATAGTTTCATCCCTGTCGTGAGTATCAACGAAGCCCGATCTACTTGATCTGCGCATACGTTTTAACGCAGCGTCGACACAGTCACGTCACAGTATCAATTTCTTGGTACACATTTATTCATTTTATCTTCTTCTATTTCAATTTGTGAGTGAGAAAAAAAACCCACTTCAACCAAAGGTAAACAATTTTAGTCTTTCTTCTCGAACATGTTGAAGTGTTTATACTCACTAATTTTATTGAATATATAGAGAGAAAATATTTAATAATGTAAAAATTTATAAAAAGTAATTTGAAAAAAGTTATAGAATTTAATACAATCGTTTGTTGATGTTATGTAAACCAATTGCGACTTATAAAATATCTAGTTGGATAAAATAAGTCTTATGTTTGTGTTTTAATGTCCCCTTTTTCACTGAAATAATGCTAACTCGGATTTTCTTTTTATTTCTTTAAAAGAAGGATGGCAAATTGCATGATCTATGTGAAAAACAAAACATTTCACATTTTTTTAAATTTGTAAAGTCCCTTGTTTATTGCGGAGTTTTAATATGTAATTGTGTATAAAAGCACGTAAAATGGACCATATTTTGGAAGTGCCCCCATTTGATTAAAATAAAGGCAAAGTAACAAAATTTCATTCTAATTTTTCTTAGCATAATGCATACAGATTTCTTTCCAAGAATTAATTTTTTTTATCATTCTGTTTTCGTAATTTCCAACTAGATAAGGCCTCGTTAAGATAAACTTCAATAAATCAAAGACAAGAAACTCATGTGGTTGCTTACAGGCATATCAAGAGTATAAAAAAACTTTGAAAATCATTTAGTAAATATATTTTTTGTTTTCAAAGGTGTGATTGCATTCAACGCCTAATTGACAGATGGCCAGCATCAACCATCAAGTCAAGCTGTTATCATCTTTAAAAATGTAACATTAAATTCCGAAAACATTTATGATGCAACAACGGGAAAATTTACGGCTCCTGTTGACGGAATATACTCTTTCACTAGGACCATTGCCACAAATGCCGGTAAGCTTCTAAGCACAGAAATTGTGCACACTGATAAAGCTGTCAGTTAAAAAATTACAATCACGTGAATGGCAGAGATGCCTACTCCAATTACGAAACTGGATCAACAACAGCTAACATAGAAATTAAAAAGAATGAAAAAGTCTGGATCAGAGCGATGCAAAACGGATATGCCATACCCAGTTGGTCATCTTTCTCCGGTTTCCAGTTGAAGTAACAATTCTGTTATAAAGGACATTAAAAGATAATTGATCCCCATACAAAATAGTATTTGTTTAGAAATGAATTATCTCTGTAAGACAGTTCAGGTTATCAACGAAAGAAAGATATTTTGAGGGAACGGAGAAAACAAGTTTAGCATACACTATTACATTTTCCTACTGTAGTTATTAGCTTTTATGTGTGTAACAAAAAGAAAATAAAAAGAAATGTGGCTACATGTACATAGAATATGCAAGCCATTGTAAGTTAATTTTTATAGTCTGGCACACAGGCGTCAGACGCAAAACATTTGCAAGGGATCTATATTGACATGCACATGCACATGTACGTATTTGACTTTCCATTTGGCAAAAATATTATTAAGTCAAGCTTGTATATTTTAAAAGAAAACCACACACAACGTTTAACAATATATCACAGAAAAGATTAGAAAAGCAACTTAAGTTTATATAAATAAATGAAAATAATAATGCATGGTTGCAAATATTTTTTTTATTATTCTAGTTAATGTAGATGTAAATAAATTGGTATAGATAATGATAAATGTATAATTTCTGATTAGATTAAATTAATTCTGAATCTTAAAAAATACATATGACTGCCGTCACGAGAAAAGGGCCCTTATCTTTTGACGTCACAATGGTCAGAAAACGACGTCAAAATCGCGATGTTGTAAACACGGAAGTAATTTTCGTTGACTGCATTTTGTAAACAAGAAATAAAATTGAATTTCAAAGCGTAACAAAAATTTGAAACTTGATGCGGACATTTTTTTAAAAGGCATATGAAATATTTATAATTTAGTACGTAAATTTATTCATAATTTTGTCTTTTAAGTATTTAACTTGATGTAGATATACGGGGCATTGGACATGCACGTTGCTAGCTATGGAACAGCGATCAAAACGATGTCTATGCATAACTAAATTAAAGATGCTGCATATTTGTTTTCTGAAATTTACAAATGCTTAATTGAACTTTGAATTCATGTTAAGAAGTCTTAATATTAAAAGTTATATTCCATATACATGTATATTTTTTTTTCAGAGAGAGAGAGATGTATGCATATACATGTATAGTAATTACCGTTCTTATAAGCACTACTTTTTTTCTGAAAAATATATACCATCATTTAAAACGTATTTAGCCATTTTAATCCATAGTTAATCATACTGATGTACTCCGATAGCCAGCCTTCGGTGAACTGTCGATTTTAAAATTTGTGTAAAAGAACGGGTGGGGGAGAAGAAATCCGAATAAAAAGACCGGTAAAGCCCGTGTCACACTGTCACGATTTATAGCTACGATTCATTACGAATTCAAAAATCGTAGCAAATCGGGATTTATCGCAGAAGTACTCGTAGGATATCTTCCTTACTCGTGTTGGATCGCAGCAAATCGCCAAACCTGGCGATTGTTTTGAGCATGTTCAAAACAATCGTGGACACTGTACGATTTTTAATTATTCGTAGACAATCGCACAGCATCCGCACTGCACTCCTACTCATATTCGTAGTAAATCTTCGAAGTTCGTGCGCCATTCGCGGAACTTCGTAGTAGGCGCGACACTACGAGAGTCCTACGAGTTATTTCGAGTGTCCTTCGAGTTTGTGCGAGTGTCTCTCGATTTACTGCGAGTGTCCTACGAGATAGTGCGAGTGTTCTTCGAATTGATAAGAACATAGTACGACTTTCCCGCGAAAATGATACGAAAAAAGACGATTGATGGCAAGTGCTGTACGAACACTGTGCGATTGAACTACGAGTTTATACGATGTAGTCAGACGGTGTCTGATGTTAACACTGTCGAAATCAAAATACTGCCTAAAATAAAAGGAAAGAAGCTTAGAAAAGTGAAATAAATTGAATATACATGTGTACGGTAACAGAAACTATAAACACCGTGTACAATAATCACATGAAGAGATTGAACATTATGAAAAGTTCCGCACTGTAGTTTTTACCATTATCAAATAACATAACTATGATGTTTAATGATATCAGGCAAATCTCCCTTTACTCATAAAGAAGTC